TATTCGAAGTTTTTCTAATAAAACTAAAACATTATGAAAACTGACAATTGCCACATTATCGGACAATGGGAGTTAAAGATTTTTCTAATGATACATTGTCAAGGATGAATTCATATTCTTTTGTCTTCTTTATGTCTCTATTTGAAAAAAAAATGTTAAACTTTATTTTACTCAATGGTTTATTTATCCAATAAAAAAACAAAAACATGTGTCTTTTTTTTGTTCACAATAATCATAAAAAGAAAAAAATAACTATTAAAAAAAACTTTATTCAATTAGCAGATGATGAACTTCTTTCTTTTGTCCAATCTTTACATATAAGTTTATGTCCACGTTTCCATGCTTGTTTTTGACATGTTGGTGAACAATACCATGCATTACGACATCGACTACAAGCTGGAAATGGTTTACGATATGGTATATTACGATTTGTTAAATTTGGATTTGGATTATCAATAATTGGTGAAAGTATTTTACACTCTGTACATGAATATGCATCATCACCTTCGAATGTACATCGTTGACATTCACACCAAAAATTATATGCACGTTTAAGCATAGCACGACGTGCACGACGTCCAAGCGCTAAGTCAACATAATTTATAGTTAATTCATCACCTGGTTTAAGTTGATGTTTACAACGAACCTTTACAACGACAGAAAAAAAAAAACAAGTTGAACTCAGATTAGAAATAAGAATTTCTTTTTTTGTTTTTTTGTATTTTCTTACTTTAATACCAGCAACTTCTGATGTTACTTGACAATCCATTATTTCACAAGAATTGTCACATGAATGATTTAATGAAGATTGAAGAGGAAAAAGACCACCAAATACTTGATCAATAGGTTCACCTTTTAAATAAGTTTGTAATGTATGATATAAACCAGTTCTATCACGTTGTCGAATATTTGATAAAAAACGCGTATATATTGTTGTTGCATATGTTGGTGATGAAAAACTTTGAGCATTACAAGCTATTTGATAAAAACGATATGTCAATTCTTGTTCATTTATTTCATAATGTATTGGCATTGATGAATGATTAAATATATTTTGCATTATTTTGAGCATACGTGGAATTGTACGAATATATGTTGGATCACCTGATGATATAAATTCAGAAAAAATTTCTTTCGCATGTTCCAATGGACCATCATCTGTTTGTTGAAATTTATATGAATAATTTAAATCAATACTATTTTGAGTTGTTCCATCTTAAAGAAAAAAAAAACCAATCAGCATTTAATTATATAATATGATTAATCAAGACATAATAATATTTGCGATAAAAATTTCTATACATAAAATTAAACAAATAAAATTCGAAGACAATTTTGGCAGATTAGTATTGAACCTCTCTATGAATCTTATAGATAAAGTCAATTGGTTAGTAAAAGAAAGTTGAAAATTTTGTAGACTTTATTTTGAATCGGTAAATATTTTCAAGTTTGTATTTCAAAATACAAAAGTTTATATAGCAACTAAATGCCAAATGTTTCTTTGATGAAATTGCGAGAATTTTAGAAAAAGACTGTAAAATCTCATACTATTATTAATCAAACAAAAGGAAACTCATGATATGAATTTTATCTTTCTAAAGTAGAATACGGAAAATTAAAAACTTAGATAACTGAAACCACAAAATTAACTATGAAGTTATGTTTTGTAGTAAAACTAAGCTAAATACTATGTTAAATTTCACGACTTGTATTAAGTCAACAAACGTCGAATCCTTGACAAAGTTTTTAATATATATTTTGTATATTATCAGCTACAGTATTTACTGAAACCAGTGGTCTTTGGAGACGAAATTTTTCGAACTTCGAAAAGTTTTCTTTCTATACATTATCGATAGATTACATGTCCAGAAATATTATGTAATCTAAGATTAGTATACTATTACGAATCATATTTGATTGAGAGTATGGTGAGCGGATAAAAAGATTTGCTAGATGCTAGACAAAAAACCTTGTAACTAAATAATTTTTTTTCGAATACCTTTATGCATCCGAGATACTTGAAATGATTATCTAAGTCTTGTCACGCAAAGAGAGTCTAAATTTAAGATGTAATGCAAAAGACTTTGGAATAATGTCAAACTCTATTATACTATATTTCTGACTTCTCAAGTAATCAAACTTTTCTCTTTGTTAGAAGGAGCGAAGTCTGATCTAAAAATTTCTTACCTGACATCTGAGACGAAGAAAAAGCTTAAAAACGTTCTTGCAACTTCATTATGGAGTAACAGTATTTTTTACTTTCTACTAATTATTTTTAATCAGACCGAAAATGAGAAAACATGTTTAATACTGATTTTTGTAGCGTACTGAATGTTCTTTTCCATTGTGCATTGAAATTTTGTACCAAAATATAATTTTTTCTAAAAACAAAGCTGAGAAAATGGTCATTCTTACTACCTGACCATTCTTGCACTGGTAAAAAATAGCTTTTCGAATAATCTTCTCTGTTAAACTTCTATGACTTGAGCTATTTCGAATAGACCATGCAAGAAAAATTCAGTTCACACACAATTTTTGGAGAGAATGAAAGAATCAAGGACAGATATCTAACAAGTTTTATCAAAGTTGATATCGATACAGTTTTAAATGGGCTACATTTTAGTTCCGATTTGTTCCTGTGATGTATTTCAAAATCATTCAGATATTCAGGCTTTTCAAGTTTCAAGGACTGTTTTTAGAGGTGTATCGCTTCTGGTGTTTCCTCGTTGCCAGGTTCGTTCTGGAAAAATATATCTACTACAAAATCTGTAGGTCAGACATTGCCCTTTCCGGCAAAAAATATTTTCTAGATTTAGAAGTTGGCAATATGGTATAACAGAATTTGACATTTTTCCGAAGACGATTGCATCTCATGTCAATAAGAAAAGAAGATGTTTCTGTTAAATTATTACTATAAAAAGAAGCCACCAAATACAACTGACGCTTGAGATAATTTCCACCAAGGTATGCCACATAAGAAAAAAAAGGTTTTCGAAGGTCGCAGTCTTGTGTGAGCCTCTAACTGAAACAGATCCTTAATGATAATTTCTTAAGTAATCAAATGAAGAACGCCATAACTCACAATGCAAAAAAAAAGGAAATTTCGAAAAGAATATCTTTCGTTTTTATAACTAAAGATACATAAATAAAGCATATTTCTTAGAAGAAAAATGCAATATTTACCTATCATGTATTATACAAGCATTAAAGTCTTAGAATTCAATTGCAGAAAACTTTGGTAGAAATAATGAACAACATTTTTCAGTATCTTCCCAAAATTATACAAATCAGTAGAGATCTAAATTAGAAACATTGATTATGAGGATTTTTCTTCACTAATGAATATTTTCTTCGTTATCTATGATACATATTCTGATAAATTTAATCGATCTAAAATCTTACTTTGAACAGAATCAACAACATTAAGAATAATCATTGCTATTAATTTAGCCAATATCATCGGTGAAAATATTGAATTCCATGTTTCACGTACAATTATTTGTCTATTTGCACAAAATTGATAAAGTTCAGTAGTTTCAGGATTAATTGATGGACATAAAATCTTATGATAACTATTCCATGCTTGATGACGACATGTTTCCGAACAATATAATTCAAATGAACAATATGGACACGGCACAGGTGTAATATGTGGCCAATATTCTTCTATTTGTCGTTGTAATTTGTCTGGTATTCGTGACCATGTTGTTTCAAAATAAACAGCTGGAGTTAGTAAAGATGTTGTACATGTTGCACACGCTGGTGATATTGATAAAGTATCAACTGTTTGTGCATGAACAAGAGGAATGTCGGTAAAAATGTCTTCATTTGGTGATATCACACGTTTAGCATAAATACCTATGAAAAATAATAGAAAAACAAAAATATTTCTATGGATAAATATAAGATGAATAAAACAAACCTTTGCCTCGTTCATCTACCCGTATATCAATCATTGGATATCGTGTTAGATAAGTATTAAAAAATCGAGCAATACGTGCTTGTTCAAGTTTAACATTTAAGTCAGTATTATTTGAACGACAAACATGAATAGCTTCTGAAAACCAACGTTGTGCAACAGCAAAAACACGTAATTTTTTACAGCATTCACCACCAATTTTCCATATATCAAGTGGACGTTGTTCTTGAGGAATTTTCCAACATTCATAAAAAGCTTCTTCAAGACTACCAGCTGCAAATTTTTGTTTAGCCCGTTCAATTTTAAAATCAAGTGTTGCTGTTGATAATGTCGTTGATGATGATGATGATGCTGTTGTTGATATTGTTTCTTTTTTTGGTGATGATCGATCATTTGAGGGATCGTCATCTAAATGAAGAATCGTTCGACGTATATGCATTATTAAATCCAATTCTTCTTTCGATGTACATCCATTTAATTGATTTATTGTTGGTGGTAGATTGTTGTTGACCATTGCTTCAAGCATTCGATCATCAGTGTTATCGTCTCCACTCATTATCAGTCTTGCTTTCGGTAGATAGTTGCGAAGAGAATATCACCTAGATGTATACTGCTATATATCTATTTGCCGTTTTTGTCTTTTTCTTTGTTCTTTTTTTTTTCTTTTCCTTCTCTCTATTGGTGATAGTAGTGCAAATCGTTGCCTATTTCATATGCATAGAACGGATAATCATTGAGTTCGTCTTGTGCTTTCTAGATAGTTATACATTTTACTTAGATCAAGAAAAATACGGAATAAACATGCCCGTATAGGAAACATGTATTTTTTTTCTTCTTCTTTTCTTCCTGTGTATTGATATTGCATTACACGAGAGTAGTATAACTATGACCAAATAAAGAAAAGAAAACATATGTTGCTCAGACCGGCTCGACATAACCGGAAAAAAGAATTCTCTATCGTTATGTAGAGAAGTATTGTAGGATTTATGAATAGAGTTTTGTTGCATTGATAAGCATTATTCGCTAAAAACCATTGATACAAAGAAGAAAACAATACGAATCGAATTGAATTGTTCGTTTATTATTTTTTTTTATGCTTTTCTTGTTCTGAACAATCAGATTGTTGATTTGGATGAGTTGATTTAAATCCATCAATAGAATTTAGTCTTTCTTCAATAGATGTAATAAATGGATATTTAGTTAAGTCAATTTTCCATCTAAATAAAAAAGATGACAATATAATTAAATAAACAAATAAATCTCTATCGTCGTGCATGATACAGTTGTGGTATAAGACGACAATCAGCTATTGAAAGTTGATTACCTACACAATATTGTTCTGCAGATTCCTCTAGAGCTTTTTCTACAGCTAGAATAAAGAGATTATATCTAAATATCAATCAATCATTCACTTGCCATCAAGGCCAATTTTGACATAATGCCGTACCCAGTCTACTTTTTTCTCATCACCAACACGTTTTAAAACACTTAGATTTTGCAAAGACTTTTTAACAAAAAAAAAAACATTGATTACAATGATGAGTCTTAGAAAAAAAATTAATAAGAATTACCTGAATACCAGATGCAATGATTTCACTAATCATACGAGGCTGAAAGAAAACCGATACACTGTGTACATTATTCAGTAGTAATGATATGCCGTTTACTCCGAATTTTTGTTTTATCTAACCTGATAACGTTGATATGGATTGTCTGGTAAGAGTCTTGGTGTTTTATGTATTTCATCAAGATATTCGATGATAGAAAGCTGAACAGAAAAAAAATCATATGAAATGAAAACATTGTGTGTAGATTGACAATTACTGTATCGATTGTAAAAACTTTTTTCCGTCAATAAGAAGTACCTTAATAAAGATAATCATTTTTCTATTGATAATAGAAAAACAAGTTAAAACTATTTTTTTTCTTGAATTAACTGTTGGTAATATGATTTTAATGAGCAAGTATATCAACTTTTTATCGTGCTCAGAAAAGAATTCATAGACCTTTTTATAATTCAAAAATATTTTAATAGTAACGTACAAAATGTATAGCTTAATTTTTGTGAAACATGGTCTAAAAGGAGTGTCGAAGTACATCGAATATAAACAAGCACGTGATTCTCCCCCACATCCCCCACGCACACATTGTGACATACATTGTTGACATACGATCAAAAAACCGTATAGATCAATAACGTATGTATGAATTACTTCCTTATTGCAGTTCTAGAAGATTAAGTAAAAGGATGATGAAGAAATGTACCCTAGGAATAGATAGAATATAACAATTTCCTTGTGATCAATAAGAATAACTAAATTATTTTTCACATTTTAATTCCTCAAGGATTGCACTAGCAGCTTCCTATTTCGTAATATGGAATGTAAGTCATATTTTGGACGTGTAGTTTATATTTTTAATCATCTCATCAGTACCTTTTGACTACTTAAAATATTAACATAACAAAAGGTAACACTTTTTTAAATATCAAACTAGCTCTAGGCATAAAATCAATAGATTTTTTCAATAGAGATGTGCCAGGTTACCCTATCCTATCCTGCAGAGTAAGATAGACCAATCGTTAGAAAATTTTTTCTCCGTCAAAATACAGGATACACAAAAAAGGTTACTCTGTGCTTCTCTAGTCTGATAATATCTTACTATTTATTACTTTTAGAATATTCCAATTATGATAGAATAAAGAAAAAGTGAAATAAAAACTTCGTAAGCAAGAAAGGATAAGAATTAGAAAACTTTGCTTAGACAGAGTACACAATATGCAAAATCCTAACCTATACACACACATGCAAAATCTATCTGTGCGTATGGTGAAGAATTTTGGCTAGTAAATAACTATATGAAAATTTTTTTATGAAACTATACAATTTGTTAGTTTTTGAAGTAAAAGTTACTTCTAATAATTGGTGATTTATAAAGATTAATTTTCTTATATCATTTGTTTGGTTGTTAAATGAATCAATTTTTCTTTTACTTGGAATGTGCAAGTGAAAAAGAGAATCCACGTTTTTCTTTATTTCGATAGTAGGGAAAATTTTTTCGTTTTAGCGCCAGGTTCTGTACATCTCTATTTTTCAATAATACCGACATTTCAAACAGTTTGAGTTATGATACTAAAATTGAATAACAAAATTCCGAACGATGCTTATTGACGTGATTCAAAGACTAAAAGACTATAGAAAGAATTATGTCGATGATGGTTAAGTCAATCATAATTCTTGAAATATAGTTATATGAATCACAACGAAAGAGCCATTCAAAAAAGGATGTACCCCGTATAGTTTGCCAGAACGATACGATGTATGTAATTATCAAAAAAAGTATATCATTTTTTGAAAACTAAACAGTATTTCCTATTATATGGAAATCATTAGATACACATAGGGTGATCACAAAAAGTTCATACACTTTCAAATATTTATCCATAGAAAAAAAATTTTGCTAGAGTCTTTTTCGTAATTATTCGAAGTAGGCCGTATGATGTTCAGTATAAAGTTTTATCCTTTGAATGCACTTCTGAATCATGCATATGTAACTTTGTATTATCATGATGCAACTTAATGCCATATAGTATTGATGATAGTCTGTTTTCTGTAACTTTGTAACTAATCTTTTTAAAAATTAGTCAAGATAATATAAAGCATTTAGTGATATTTTAGAATATAATTCACGAATGAATCATGGTCTATTTGTCATAAAAACAATTACAAAAATTGTTTCTCTTCTTTTAATCTTCCTCTCATTACTATTATTGGAAGATCTTCTTCTTTTGCTACCCTTGCTTTAGATTGTTCTTTTGATTTAATTTTGCTATGATTAATCTAAGTTACATCTCTCATGACTATATCAAACAGTCTCAAGGTATTCCTTTCAAATTTCTGTACATGTTCAAAACAAAATATCAATACATCGTAGTGGTTGTTCTTGAATGAATTCATGAGGCACCTATCTTGATGATATTTGTCATTAAGCCAAATTGCTACTGGAGAATAGTATCTACACTACTATTTGATATATATATAAGATGGTAGCAATATAATCAATACTAATCTGTGGGTTGTCATTCATCAGATCTGTAACGGCATGAATATTTTGTTGAGAAACAATGGTTATTGGACGACCACTTCGAGGATCATTCTCCAAAGAGTCTTATCCTCTTGAAAATCAATGAATCCAATCAACAACTATATGAAATGAAACATAACCTTGCTTATAAGTATTATTTAATTCGTCATAAATTTGTGTTGATGTACGACATAATAATAAACAAATTTATATCTATATAAGCGTATACACACTTTTTCTATTGGACCATGGAGGTGACGAAAAAATTCATTAAGAATTTGCCACCATATACACTTGTGAAACTTCGTTTTGATAATTTAATATATAACAAATGTCTCTACTCGATTAGACTAACATCAGAAATAAAAACAAACAGGGTGTGAGTGTAATATTGGTAGCTTAAGCACGATCACATGAATGAGAGAACACAATTTCATCTAAAATCTAGCATTGTTCTAAAATTTTTAAAATATTCATGCACTAAGATATAATAAAAAGATAAGCAAAGGAACCACTGTTTTCGAGCGCTTGAAGCGACATAGGTACATCATGTAGTAAAAGATTAGCAAATATTACGATAGTTCATTATTGCAGAATTAATAATTTGTTCGTTTTATATATAATATTTCTTTACCTACTAGAATTTCACCTTTTGAATTGATTTTTTTATATTCATCAATTGACTATAAAAATAAAACTCAGATACTATTTATTACTGGAAATAAAACTCAACAGCTTCTTCTTTGAGCAAATCAATCTGTTAAATATGATAAATAATATTTTTCAAATTTAACGCTAATCATATTTAAAAGAAACGATTCCAATCAATAATTCCCTACGTTTCAATAAAATTACCAATACGAACTCGATATGAACATGAACTACGGAAATATGAATATAATACTAGCTATTATACAAATAAAAATAATCGAAGTTTGTTTAATCTTTTCATAAATCATTCACTTACTTTCATGTCTGAACTCATCAAATTTATTAAATCTAGAGTAAGCAAAAGATGATCTCTTCTCTTTTTTGAATTCATATTTATTTCTTGTCTGTAGCGTGTTTATATCGATTTTGTTTTAATTGTTGTTTTTTTTTGATAAACATACACAAAAAAAAAAAAGAAAAGTTTTCCGGTCATAATATATAAGAATAATAAACAAAAAAAAAATTGGATAGACCATCGATCGAAAGACTCAAACATTAGTTCGTATACATTCACACATACACACAGTGAGATCACAGTAATACATCAAAATGACTAATCATTAACGACGTGTATGACAACCAATTTGGAATTTGATAATCAAATGTTGCTGTTAACCATAATGTACGAAGAACAGCAAGACGATTTAAATTCAAATATAATGTCTTACCACGTCTAAACAAATACAAAAAAAAAACAAAAGATATAATTTTCATATTTGTATATATTAAAACTCACTTAAGTTTAGGATCTTCTTCACCATGTTGATCAAGATAAAGTGAATGCCAATAACCATATGTATCAGTTAAACAAATAGCGATTAATGTTGTTTGAATATCAAGCATAACAGCAGCAGGATGACCACATTTTGTAAGATGCTTAAATAATAAAAAAAAAAGAAAAGAAATATGAATTTTAAATGAAATATTTCATTTAAATATCTACTTGAGCATATCTTTGTCGTTGATAAACACAACATGCTGGATACCAACGTCTTAAATGTAATTCACCACAAATAAGACATAATAATGTACTAGATGAAACTTTTTTACAATGTTCACAACGATATTCATTATATGTATGAAATATATCATCATATTTTGCTGGTAAATCAATAAATATTGGAGGATAAAAATGTGGCCGTTTAAGACATAATATCTAGAAAATAATATTAAAAAGAAATTGATTTTAATTCAAAAGAAATTACTTTCATCGCATCACGATGATGTTGAGCATTATTTTGAAAATTTTGTAACCAATTCGTTACTAACTCCATTGGTTCACCACAATACCATTGTGGTATAGCTAAACCATTTAAATTTAATTTTAAATTTAAAAAATTAGCCAATCCTATTGCTGAAGGTTGTTCACCCGTCTACAAAAAACAAAAATAAACAAATTTCAATTTTTTTGTGTTCAAAAATATATTAATAAATAACTTACTATCCAAGGCATTTCTTTTGAATATAATCGATATTTAATTAATGAAGTAATTTTTAAAAATTCTAAACAATTATTCATTAATTGAATCTCAAAAGAATTTTCAATTGGTTTTCTATTTCGGATTGGTTCATCAGTAATAATATCGTTTATACATTTTTTTGTAAGATCAATATAACTATTGAAATCCTAATCGTTAAAATTAACAAAAAAGAAACGTTTTTTTTTTTGTATGTTGTAGAATTTTGTTTTTCATTACTGCTAAATTTGTGTTTTCTATTGGTTGCTCAGTAATTATCGATATAAGACTTTTAAAAAATTCAATATTAAATACTGTTTGAACAATTGTATCAAATTCATCTAATGCAAATTAAAATATAAAAAAAAAATTAATATTTTGAGAAACACAAAAAAGGTCAATTACCAGAAGTTAGATTAATTGGTGCACTCATTAATAGTTGCAGTAACATAGTAATGGGATCACGTAAAAGAATAGGTGCTAATGGTTGATGACGATCAAATACACTAGAAAAAAAAACACAGAATATTATTTATTTTTTGTTGATTTAAAAATAAAACGGATCTTTATGGCATTACTCAATTGTTGTCGATGGACATTGAAGTCCAGTTAATTCTTGCCAGAGATGTTGATGATGAAATGGATAACCAAGATGATGAAGATCATGAAGAATTTCTTTTGAGTAGAAAGAATAAAAAAAACACCATGAATTATAATAAAAATGATTAGGTTCTTACTATAAAATGATTTTCGAATATTTTTTTGATCGATTCTATTTGCACTTTCATAGAAAAGTTGTTCATGGACAAGTTGTGCTCTAATAAAATGAAAAAAAAAACATTTTTTAGATTTGAAAAAAAAAATAGACAATCTTATAAAGATTGAAACGTGTCATCAGCATAAACTGTCGGTAGTTTTACAGGATGAAAGCGTAGATTTGAAATATTCAGTACTTTTTTGTTTTGAAACTTATGAACGAATGTTTTCAAATGATCAATTACCTTTTTAACGAAAATTAATAGATAATGAACTATCAACAATGCTTGTTTCGATTATGACTATGAAAATACTCTTAGTTCTTTATATGATGGTTTTCTAGGCTAATCAATATTTTGCTAGAATAATTTTTGATCTACTTAAATTATAAATCATATACAATTGTCCATAGTCAATAATTGTTTTCTGTTTTACAACCGATAATTTACTGTTCGATAGCTTTCTTTAAAAAAGTGGCTAATCAGTTAGAAATATTTTCTCATGAATAATGGTGTTCAAATTGATGACAAATAAAGCAACAATTAAGGTGCTAACTGGAGATAAGTATCATACTATTCAAATTCGATCATGAAAAGACTATTTTCGAACTCGGTCAAAAGAAATATTAAAGATTCGAACTGAACCAACTCAGGTACCGATCCAATGAACTCTATAAGGGAATTCTATTTCTTATGATTCATTTAAGTTTCACTAAATTCATCAGATGTTTTAGAATAGAATTCCTATGATCGGAAAAAGCTAAACTCGAGAATTTTCAAAAACCATCTGTAGATTTGGATATCTCGGCTCCAGAAGTCCTTAGTCAAGTTCTTTTTAAATGATCGCTATTTTCAAGAAATAGTCTTATGATGATTGAACATTTACCTCAAAGTTCCACAATCAAATTCGGCTGCACGTTGTTTCATTGATTGATGATGTGGTAATGACATTGGAATATCTGCAGATAATTGTTCAATTGATACACATTTAGCTGCAAGACCTGATAAAAATGCAAGTAAACAACTTTCATCAGAACTTCGTTTCTAAAAATCAATAAAATTATATTAAATAATTTATGTTTTATGCTTGATTTTCTTTTCGTACTAATTTTGGACGCAATGGATTTAGCATTGATTGATGAAGTCGTTCGAAAGATGTTACATTTTGTTTATTTTCTTCGATGTTTACATAATCATTATAATCAAATAATGGAATTAATGCATTAGCTGTTTGACGACAAAGTGGACAACGAAAATTTGTATTAGGTGGAAGAAGATTATTAACAGATACTTCAGCGGCTTCTTGATTCTAAAAGAAAAAAAAATCTTAAAAAAATTATCTTTATAAAATAAGAAGATTTAAAGGTTGATATTCAAGTTGATCGAAAATTTTATCACAAGAGCATGTGTCACGGAAATATCTGCCTAGTGCATAACATTCGGGTTATCGAAAAACAAACTATCGAAATTTAGCATAGCTGAAAACGAAATTCTGATGAATCTCGGCTTGTTTCCGAAAATTTTCGATAGTTCTGATATATTACTATTCTAAATAAAAGACCTTAACAGGGAGATTCTTTTAGTTGAAGTCCTCGTTTCAGATAAAAACAAGGCTTCGATCTCATTATTACAAAAAACAAAGAAAGTCCCTCAACTAAAAAATAGCTTTTGAGTCGACACTATGTACATGGTGTAGATCCAAATAAGCTATGAATGTTAGGAAACGAGTTCATATCCTTACCTCATTGCTGAGGAGATACTGCATTTTGTATGATATTTTTTAATTCATGTCGGTATTGAGAAAAAGTGATTTTCGAATTTTGACTTGAATTTTTAGATGAAAATAGACTCAAATGAGAGTAGTTTATTGTAAAAGTTTTAAGCCTTTTGAGTTGTTTCTATCCTGAAATAAGAATATTCAATCTGCTGGTGTATACGAGCAATGTAGAAGACACGCTATTACTATAGTGGTATTTTAGGATGAATATAATGAGAAGATCTGAAAAATTTCACAGAAAACTATTTTCATTGATGTCCGTCTTTATATAAAGTTTTAAGTCGGAATTCGACAATTAGTTTTTATGTTACTACGGTATTCATTTTGCAAATACCGTAAAACAAGCTGTATATCGGCAACAATAAGCTAAGGACATGAAGTCTTTTCAGGGTATACATAACTCGTTTGGGTCTATATAATGTACATAGTCTAGACTCAAAAGCGACAAATCCGTTGGAGGACCTTTCTTATGAGCTAATCCTAAAGATTCTTAAGAGTTCTTCTTCTTTGAGGAGTAGAGCAAGAGGTATAATAAACTCAAAGCTTTTATTGGTCTTGAAATACTTCACAGTAAAAATTACATTGAGTAAGTACGTATTCGATTTATATTCTCATTCGTTATACATGTCATGAAACATAGTAGTCAGTATAGCAAAAAAAAAGTTAGAACATCATTCTTCATTCTATACAATCTGATAGGTGCTATTGTTTGCCATAGACAATATGAAAATTTAAAATACATCTCAGACTATAATGTTGTTTTTATTCTAGAGTAGAGGCTTTGCTGAAATATTTTTATTTACAGTAGAAGTAATTCTAGTTGATAGTGCATATGGCTCAATAATAAATATTGATTCAAAAATAAAATAAAACACAAACCGGATGTAATGCTTTAAGATATGATGAAAGACAATCAACATGAATTGAATGACCACATGATTGAATAAGCAATGAACGAAGATGATGATCATTTTGACAATAATTTGCAATATACTATAATAATAAAATAAATGCTTAACAAAAAAAAAAGTAATTGATTCTTTATCTCTTTTACTGGGTGTCCACTAATTTGTGTTAAACATTGTTTAGTTATATTTAAATATGTTTCAAGAGTAATTTTGTGCGAATCGTAGGATAATATTTTTTGTTCATATTCATCTAATTGAGTAAATTCGAGGCTAGGTACTAAAATGATATCAATAGAAATATATAGTTTTTTCTGTAGTTTATTCTTACAAAGTGATAAACATGATGTTCCAATAAGACCAATTGGTGATTGACTATCACTTTTTGTTATACGACAAACACAACATTCATATTCAACTAAATTTTCTGTATGAGTCGATATGTTTGAGGCTGCTGCTGCTGCTATTGTTGTTATTGTTTGTTCCATTGACAAATGTTCATTATTTAATGATGGTGACGTACCAATAGACATTGCATTTTCATCTGGATTTTGTTGACTTATAAATTTTTTTTGTGACTCTGCTATTTCAGCAAGTAATTTTAGTTGACGATTTTTTGCTCGTTGTCGTCTAATCGAATTAAAAATAAAATTATATAAAATAAAAATAAATTATTTCAGAGCGTTCCTCAAAAACAAAAAAGGTTTTTTCCTATCACTCGATCTGGATGAAATTAGTTAAGCACTTCACAGCAGGAGTGACCGAATTGGATGAAAGAGCTGGTAAGCATGGCATCCCTGTCAAATAGATGTTTTTTTTTTCAATGCAATCGAATTTTTTCAGTGCGTTCTCTTAATATAGGTGTCCATTCATCCGAAATTCTTCCACTATTTCAAATGTTACGAAGTTCTTGTTGGTTTTGAAATATAGCCAAAACATGGCACTACAACTTAACACAGCTTGATTCTTTAATTTTTTTTTTGTTTGCTTTTCTCGAAAGTTTCTCTGATAAAATACGAAAAAAAAATCAAGAGGTGTAGGTTCAGAACGATTAGTTGTTAGTAAACATTAAAGGTGAAATCGAAAAATTCGGCTCTGTTAAACTTGTAGAGCCAATATTTGCCTTGCTTTTGACATCAGTCCCATCTTTGTACCGTTTAAAATAACGAAAGAAATCTGAGACGCACGAAAAACGTCAACATAAAAGGCTCTATTGTCAGAGAAACGCAAAAAAAGTTTCAACACATGAATTCAAAATTTCTCTCCGTAAACTAATATAAAAAAGAATCTTCGACTAATTTTCCATAGATCTACGAATTAGAGTGAGTCAAATAAGCGCATATAAGAGTGCTAGGGTGGATGTGAGTGAAAGTGTGGGATTGGTTGCAGGATTGACTCTACAAATTCACTCACACCTTCATTTCGTTATGTGGTTTTTCATGTTCAAGTGTTGAATTCACTTACAATACTTAGCGATGCATGATAGCCATGCCAATCATTGCCATAAGTCAACAGAGAAACTTGAAAGATTTTAAAAATCAAAGGTGTTAGAAAAAGGTCTACGAAAGATGCGCACGGAAAGTTGCGCACGACGAAACTTGTGCACAAGTAGATTCCGCACGGATAGTTTGCGCACGAAATTAAAAGTTCATGTTTATACTCAAAAAGATAATACAGGTATAGAAAAGTAGCAAGAAACACAAAATTTTTATTTTATTTTGAAAATCATAAATATAACAATGAAATGAATAAACAAAGCATAAAAAATAGTTTAAATCTTTGTTATTCTATAAATACAAGTAAATTTATTAGTGTTCATATCTCTAAGAATGGGTGTGAGTGGGGTATGCGAGTGTGGATGTGAGCGTGGGAATAGCCTTCTCTTCATCCACACACACACTTCATCCCTCCCCCCCTCACCCACATTCCACACCCATATCCAGATCCAACACCCACACCCACACCCACACCTCCCACCCACATTCATACCCATACCCTATACTCATACCTCCAATATAATCATTTGTTCAAAATAACAATTTTTCTCTCATACGCAAATGATCCTTGCGCATTTTGTTGTGCGCAAGTTTCATCGTGCGTAACTTCCGTCGTGCGCATCTTTCGGGATCCCATTAGAAAAAAAAAAGTTATTATTTCTTCAGTATGACGATTCAGAAAAACGTACATAATATTCTTAAATCTTATTATAAACTCACTAAATTGCAGTAGATTCAAGAGTAGACATATGGCTCTATTTAATGAGCTATAAATCATAGAATCGTTGAATTCTACCAAAATTGATTTTTTTTCTGAGAAGGAGAAAAACATAATTAATCAATTACTTTTGTTCAGTTGTTAATTCAGATGATTTTGTACTTGTTGGTTGTTGTTGTTGATATTGAGCTTTAAGCTTTTCAATTTCTTGTTTAATTGTTATACGACATTGTTCATTCATTTGTGACGATAAAGAAAATATATTTGTAATAAAATAATAACTATCACCAATACGTGATATATTCTTCGCATTATCTGTCTTTGGTTTGAGAGAAATATTATTGATTATATCAACAAAATCATGTGAACGTTGTTTATGAAGAATTTTTAATAGAAGTGTAATAATACTGTCAGTTTCAGACTCATTTTTTAATGGATTAAGTGATACAAAGACTCGTGTACGAATATTTGTCAAAATATTGTTTGTTTTAAATGCTGCGATTTCTTCCTAAATGAGAAATTAAGTTTGAAAATGTTTTTAATATATAAGTTGTCTAAAAATAAATGTTAAAGTGATGTAACTGATCGCATCGGTTAGAATTCTATCGCGTATCTCACAATCTATTTACATCACTCAGACTAATTGAACTAACTTTTACTAGTAAATTGTTCATAATTGATAAACGCTAATAGAATGATAAAATTTTTAAACAATACTCTGTGATACTCTCTCATTGACAAGATTTATATGACTCGTCAATCATGTTGATATTTTGCCATACTCGATATCTTCTTTACAACTAATATTAGCTGTAGTCCTGGACAGAAGGTCGGCTCAATGTAGAATTATCGTGCTCAATCGCTTGTCAGCTGTCACCTTCTAATTTCAACGATTTTTTGGCTATAGATACCTTATAGTGTTCTAATAAAAAACTCTAAAATGTTTTGAATTCTTATTGGTATTAAACTAAGATATCAAATTTTCAATATGCCTCTGCTACAGATATTGAATATTCAAAAGAAAACAATTGTGTCACAATGAAAAATAAGAAAGCCCAAAACATACGTAAGGGACAAATTTAGTAAAACTATCATAATTTGAGAACGATAGTACATGTGGATGAAACCTTATAGGATTCTACTAGTCTTATCAATCCGTTCTTATAGGCTACACATCAGTTCAATTAGTAAGTCTCACTTATGGATTTTCTCTCGTCAGATAATAAATTTCAATCATTGAAATTTAATTTATGGAAGCAATTTTAGAATAGAATTAACATAGTATACTAAATACAACATGACTCTTGTTTCTATTGAATTGAAAAGAAATACCATACAAGAAGTTAAAATTTCTTTTCAAGGTAAATCTGTATACTTACTGAATTTTCATCAACTGCCATTGGTGAAGTATCTTCAGCCTACAAAATGAAAAATAAAAACAATTTTTTGTTTCATTTCAAATTTTCATCATAAACCTACGTTCAGAAGTGATAATTCTAGAAGGTATACTGTGAAATATAGAATATTTTCCGTAATAGATTTGTCATTTAAATACTAAACAAAAAAATAATGAAAAGAAATCTTTGAGTTTTTTGTTCTTGAAAAACCTACAGCATTTAAACATAAAAATAGAAAATGATGTAGTACACCTGATTGTAATATATGTTGAACATTTGACATTTGTGGATGATAATATGTTGGAATACGAAATGGTGGCCAAATAGGATAATCTGATTTAAATAAACCTTCATGTTTAACACTAATGAAAATAGAATATTATAAAATTAAAATAAACATTCATTAATAATAAATTTACTAGTTTGTAAAACGTTCAAGTGAATTTTGAAAATTTGCACGTTTGGTACAACGCATCATTACATGTAGAGGATCATATTCAGTTTTGAATAATGTACCTTAATGTTAACATGATTATGACAAAAAGAAATAGATAATCGAAATTCTATTAAATTACCTTTAATAGTATATTTGCCTTGTTGTAAATGACCCAATAATTCAACAGAAGGTGTTTGAAAATCAGATACCTAGAATATTTTCATTTTCAAAATTCAACAATTCATTGTCTTTCCCTGATATAGACGAAAATTTATAGGCTTTCAAGCTAGACAGGTGTCTTTAAATTATTAAATTATTGTTCTTTGATGGTATTTTCATCGATAATATTTTTCCGGTCATATAAAGGCAGTTGGTTAGAATCAAAAACAGTTAATTAAAATTAAAAGTTTTTGCTTTCTATCAATGTATGTTTGCAATTTTCTTCAAGGAGAAAATTGGATAAATATTATCAGATTGCAATTTTACTCTGTTCGCCTCAGTCTATTGTCTTGAAAGTTTCAAATTGTTCATATGAACCATTCTTCAGAAACGTCGAAAAGGCCTTTCCTTCAATCTTACCTCAGAAGAAACCTATGAGCATATATTCAGAAATAGAAAAAAAATCTGCGTTTAACTAGTTGTCTTTTATTGACCAAACATAATGAGTGAATATTTTAAAGCTTTCATATCATTGGTTATTTTGACATTCATCATGCAAATTCATGTATTTCGAATTCTCCAGCTCGGAAGATCTCCGCTAATGGTTTCAGTCATAATCCTATCAAATTTGGTCTAGTCTCGACTCAAAGAAAAATATTTCAGAATTTATTCGCATTAAACCTTTAAAAGAATATCCTCAATACGCATGTTTTGGTGAATTAACTTGATTAATATCAATTTTTCTTATGCTAGAATTTGATGTTAGAGATTTGTGATAGATTTATATTTATAATAGAAACATAAAACATACATCGTCAAGAATAGTATCAATTTCTTTTCGATTAGCACTCAATGGTGATGTTTCAGGAATATTTTCTTCCACTTCACTATATAATCGATCAGCTACAGCTAATGTTGTTATAATTTCAGCTCGAATTTGTTTTGTTTCTCGAATAGCTAGAAATAAATTTCATTTAAAATTTATCATTGAAAGAAAAATTTTCTTGTTTTTTTTCTAATACCAATATTTGGTTGAAAACCAACAATAGCACATAATGTTATTAAAGCACTTTCTAACATTGCTATTAGTTGTGGTGATTCTAAATTTGATGTAGTTGCCGACTGAAATAACCATGAATAAACATGAAATCTAATCAAATAAAAATTTATTATTATGTAAACAAATAAAATTTATATTTAATTTTTACCTTGTAAGTAAATTTTCGACGAAGACATTTGGTTTAATATAACATGAGAGTAACTATAAAATAAAACATAATAACAACAAAAAAAGCATCGAATAAAAATTTCAATAATACTTGTAAAAGAAATAAATCTGCATCGTGTAATGATGATGAAAAAGAACTTTTTGCGTAAGTTTTCGCTTGAATTATTACTTGTTGTCCATTTCGCAGCCAGATATTCGATAGAACTTCATGATATCCACACTTAATAAAAATAAAAACAAAGAGTGAAATCATACCTCAAATTTTATTTCTGTTTATCTATTCGACTTACAATTGTTCTCAATGGATAAAACATTAAATTTAAAAGACTATTTTCATTATCAACAGGCAAAAATAATGATGGATCAATATTATATTGATATATAGCATTATAAGCAAATACAGATAAATAGCGATGTAATGGTAAATGAAATGTTAATTTCCAATCATCCATACGATTACGATCAAAACTTAATGATTGCATCCAATCACTAATACTATCAATAACTTGTTTGATAACATAAATTAATTTTTCTGACGGATACTAAAAAGAAAAGCTTGTTAGTGCAGCCCCTTTGGGACTGAAATGTGGAACTCACATATCTTCTTTGATTTCATTATACTAATCACAAAATACCCAATATTTAAATTCTCCAAAAGATAATAGTTCTTTTCTAATGATAATCGATTATTAGAAAATGTTGTCTTTTTTATCTCTATATTTCGAACAGAAATTTTTTCTTTTTTTGGCGAAGTTGCTACGGTCTGTAATGGGGCCTGTCTGTAAAGGGAGGGAGAAGGAAGGGAGCCGCAAAAACTTGACCTTAAAAATTACACTCACTATTTTCTTCGAAAATATATGTCAGTTCTACAAAACAATAATTTAAGATACCAAAAGATAAAAGCTATCAACATATTTCGTGTAAGATTAAAATATGAAATACAATGTGGCTGCTGTACTTAATCATAGGGCGGTTGTTTTATTCTATCTATTTTAGGATACATTTCTTCTCCACACTTTTACTAAATCTTTCAAAAATGCAATAAAGAAGTAGTTCAAATACTATAACGAGACACTATCGATAGACGGTCTTTGATCATATATCAATAATGTCAGTTACAGTCTGTGACACAGGTAGAGAAGACTTGCTAAGACGCCTATCATGGTCTATGTTGAAGTCTAGGGGGAAAAAGCAGACTTGATGTAGAAAAGTACATCAAAGTACGTCAATGTACATACTTGAAGTAGCTCAAAGTACCACTCAAGTAGTTCAAAGTAAGAACAAGTAGGTGAAGCATTTTTAAGTAACTTCGAGTAAATTGAAAGTCGAAAAGTATTTCGAAGTATGCCATTTGAAGTAGCTCAAAGTAACTTCAAGTCCAAATGTATGCTCCCCTTGGTTGAAGCAGAGACACTGCTAAGGATGCTTGTCATATGTAGCGGTCTACGAGACCAATGCTTGTTTTGTTTCCGAACCCGCTAACATTTTTATTCATTGATCTCGGTCATAGTCTTAGTGAATCTGATGTAGCCCTGGTTCCAATGATTTTAGTTTTTTGATTCTCGGTGTAGAGAAGTCTATTCCAGAATTTATTCATATCAGATCTAAACTGATTCTTCACTACTATTATTTATCTAGTCGTTGACTAGCATTTTCTCAGTTGTCTCTCTTGAATTATGTTTCGATTCAAATGTTTTATAAGAGAATTTATTTATAACTATAGAGTATGTTACCATAAACTTGAATTTTAGTCTCGAAAAAATTTTTCTCATGTACCCAATCATAGAGACTAATTCCGCACATCTCTAGCCAAGTACATGGTGAGCTGTTTCTCACATGTTTTAGATTGTGCTTTAAAAAAAAATTGTTTATACTTATTTACATTTTGTTTAAGATGACTAACAAAATACCACATAGCCATAGCATTGATTTCAAGTTCAATGGTAAATGCATACATATATGCTTGTGGTTCAAATTCAACATGTTGAGTTAATATACGTTCATTAACATTCATACCTAAGTTAAGTTACAGAACAATCAATAAATATAATCGAAAAATTGTTTCCTTTTTTTTTCTAATTTTCTGACCTTGAAATAATGTAAGAAAACGTAACCATAAATTAAAATATTTTTGATTTTCAAGTATTGTAAAAGCGATTTTTTCTTGTGATAATATATTAACAAAATCACTCAATAACGGCCAATAAACATTTTTTACTATTAAACGATGGTCAACATCTACCACCATAGCAGTACTTGATTCGCTACTTACTATTAAAAAGAGAAAAAAAATATATGTATATAATTAGATTGAGCCATATGTTTCCATCGATTTATTATTAATAGTAGATTTCTTTTAGAAAACATCCTAATCTTAAAGATCTTTTGTACTAATCAAAATGCTTTGGATAATACAAATTTTATTGCCGAATGATTAGTAGTGTTAAGATCGTTTGTCTAAAATAAAAATTTAGAAAAGGAGCTATTCTTGGCGATAGTTTCCATTTTATTATTAGCGAAGAGCCACGCCATTTTATCAATTGTTGAAGAAGATATTTACTGTGCTCATGAGACAGTAGACAAGAGTGTTCTTTGACCACACAATTCTCAAACCAGATTCAAACGTATTTTGATACTCTATATGGAATTTTCTAATCATCATCGGATAGTTGCCATAAAGATACGAGATAATATTTCCTGGTTTTTTTGTATCCAGTGAGTAGAACCTAACGGGTCTGAGACTAATCCGACAGACTCTGTACCATAAATACAGTTGATGGTTCTTAAAAATATAGACTAATTCTATGTTAAATTCTATAAGTGAGAAAATTGAGCCTACTTCCTTCATTCATCATAGGCTTGAAGAAAAAACTAGTGATTATGGTTATCTTGTTAGAGAAATTCTATTTTATGAAAATAAGCAACTTGAAAAAAATTTTCACTGAATATTCCTCGGATCCTGGAATCCTTATCCTGCGATACTTTTGGCCAATTCCATTCCAGAAGAAATTTTCTCTTAGGCATTCAACATGAACTCATCTTTACCAACTCAGTGAAAGCATGACAAGATCTAAGTTATTGAGACAATGCAATGTCCAATGCTGAGTGAATAATAGAAAACTCGTAGTGAGAAAAACTTTCTTCTAGCAATTTAGATTTCACCAAGGCTTTTCTCCATAATTGCAAGGACAAAAACATGGTGTTGTTCTAACCAATCTGAGAGTTTAGAAAGATGTCCCTTGTCATGTAGCCAGAACAACACCATATTTTCTCCTTATAACAGTGTGAAAAAGTCTTATTGGAATTTGACTGCTCGAATAAATGACGTGGGTACACATATTGTTTGATGTTGGTAAGGTTTCATCAAACTTTATAAAATATCGTTATTTTTGAAAACATAGCCTTCCTTTTATAAATTTACAAATTTTTTGTCATCCATTACTCGGTAACTGGTAATATGCTTGAGGGAATTACCAAAGGAGAAACAGCGGATTCCAACGGGTACGAATGTTCCAAGATCACCAAGATTGGTAGCAACTCTTTTTTGCGTGAATTGTTGAGTGAAAGAAAACGAAGAAAATCATTCAGTTTTGCTGTGGAAAAATCAAAATTTTTCAATACAGGAAAGTCATCCCACTTCCCAATCCATAAAACCGTGATTGCGGTTCATTCTAATGCTACAGAATCCACTATTTTCTACTTGCAAGCATTTATATTTAACTATGTGATAGAAAAATATCGGCTTCATATTCAAAATATGCCGGCAATTGTAAATATATTCAACAAATTTTTACATGCCACAATCTCTTTCATAAGATGAACATTTAATTCTAAAGACTTGTTTTAGAAATTTCATCAAGCTATCATAGAACATTTTTCGTACAAGTAGTCGTAAGATTATTCAATACATACGTGCTAATGGATGTACTTTAAGTATATTTTCATCCTCATCGACATCCTCATCTTGTTTATCTTGGTCTGTTGATGGTACAAACATATGCCATATACATGAAAGTATAACTTCAATTAAATGACATTTTTCCATAGCATATTCAGCAATTATATTTGAGGAAAATAATTGCACACTAATATGAACGAGACGTGATGGTATATCACTTGTTTCTGAAAGTGATTCATCAACAAGTGATTGTGCTATAACACCATAGAAACGTAAAAATGTTTCCGTAAATAAAAGCTACATTTAAAAAAATATTTTTTAAAAGACATATAAATTTTTCTTTTTCATTACTTTAAAATTAAAATCAGGTAATAAACTAAGTAAAAATCGTACAAGATCTTCTGGTAAATTAGCTGTAACACACCACATCATTATTTCATCAAGCATTGTATGTAAACTTGTATCGAATGGTATTAAACTATTTGATGTTGAATCAGTCATTAATGATTCAACAAAAAATGTCTCTGGTAATGTTGAACATTCACCAGTTAAATATTCATAATGATAAAGTCTAATCATCGATGCTAAATAAATGAAATTTAAAAAAAAAAAATAAGAATCAAACAGTTTTCTTTTCTTCATACAATCAGTAGTAAATTCTTCATAAAGACGTCTATCAGTTAATGCATTTGTTATATATACTTGTAGAGCTGAGCCACCATTGGATAATAGATTAAGTATTTCAAGTAATTTCTGTTCTGTTACTATATCACCTAAAATAATTTTTAATAAATATTTTTCGATGGTTTTATATTGAAAAAAACAAAATTATTGATTTCTTTACCACTAACAGTACTCATACGTAGAGCACGTATGAATACTTTTAATAAATGTGGAATAAGTAATTCTGCGCAACAAATTAATTCACGTGGTACCATTTGTGTTTTGGGTCGATTTTCACCATGAAAACGACAGAATCTATTATCAAATAATGAAATAAATTTCTGTTACAAAGATAGCTCTTAACAAAATCAAAGCTCGTTTTATTCGATCTGATCTGTTGCTGAAGTCCATAGAAATCTATCGGCGTTCGTCTGATGTTCCGAAATAAAAATAATTTACTATTGTCACAAGAACTTATGAGGAAACATTTTTCACTCAAGTCTTGGCACACGTTGTAGGTCTTAGTGAAGTATATCTAACATAAAGCATTTATGCTTATGGCCTATTTCTTAGGAAATCGAACAGTTTGAATCAAATTTTCCTATGGCATCTGACATTTGCAGTTAGGCCATATTTTCGACTTTAGACCTAAAACTTTACTCATATAGAAAACTTCTGAGTTTTGGGACAAAGTCTCTCCGCGTCATGATGCAGTATATAATATCTATAGAAAAGAGTCTATACTTTGAAATCTTATATCTTGGAAAGATTTAGTCCGAAAATTCAGAAGTTCTTTAAAAAGTTAGCCTAATTAGATTCATTATGTGAGTAAACTTTCAGGTTGAAATTTGATAGTATGATCTGCTTGCAGATGTGAGGTTCTCATGTGAAAACTCATTAGAAATGTTCGATCTGCTAAGAAATAAGCCATAATCATGAACTCCTTTTATGGTAGATAAAACTTACTAGGTCACCGATAAAAAGCAAGTCATGACCTGTAGATGTTCCCATGTTAGCAAAAAGATAATAGATTTTTGTTGCATTTATCACTATATCAAAATGATCAAATTCTAGGATTGTATAAGAAGACTATACTATATATGAAGTATTGTTTTACAACCCGGCTCTATCCGGCAATTAATGAAATGTCGGTGTTTCAAAATATTTTAACATCTTCAAACTGTTAATTTATATAAAACCATAGGAGTAAAAATTGGTGGAATTTGTTGTGCTTGAGAACAGATCAAAGAAATGCTAAACGATATTATTTTACTAAAAGAATTCATTGTTAATGAAAAGTCATTTGCAGATGATGATAAATCTTATAATAAAGTAACTAAATACATAGGACGTACAATGAATTCTCAAAAAAGGCGAACGTGTATTGCCATGATAGGGAAAGCACTCATATATATGTAGCCATAGTTATGACAGTTAATGTCAAAACTGCGTTCTATTCCAGCATCATCAGCAACAAGTAATTGTATGCTCAGCTACACACTACTTGTAATATGGAATTTTATCGAACAGAAATCTTTCGGAGAGAAACTTAAATTTATGAAACTAGTGCTGATTATGTCCAGAGAGATGTAAATATTTTTCATTTATTCTTTATGCTGAGATAATTACATGAATTAGTATTTATAAATTTTGTTGGCATTCAATGAACTATATGAGTTCCGAACAGTGGAACCAAAGTCAATCATAATTTTCTACTAACAGTAGAAATGCTTATGTTGTAAGTTAATATCAAATAGACATATTCGGGTCAAACTTAAGCTATCACTAGACAATTCGTATTTTCGTATGGCAGACAGACATGTAAGTCTTGTTCTCTGAAAATGCTTTCTTTTGTTCAAAAGTGTTTGTATATCATTCAAAAACTCATTTTTAAGAAAATAAAAAATTCTTCGACGAAAAATACTTGAGGGTAAGACTTGCCCACTTTTTTTTTCAAGAAAAGTTTTTAATTCGAAAATGTGTTGTGCTATATATCATCCGATGTATTATCGGAATTTTAAAAAAACCATCGGGGAAAATGCTTATAACTTTTGAATGAAGATAGCTAAAGCCATGCTGTTTTCACTATTCGAAAGAGGAGACAAGGGGACGCCTTTTTCTCCAATATTGCATAGGACGAAATCATTTAAAACTCAATCATTTCTACAAAACATCGAAAAAATGCATGAAAATGATCTGTCATTCCGATGAAATTTTGGTCCTGACATCTGATCTAGATAGTGGAACTTCAGATGTATAGTTCTAGATATAATTCGAACGATTATCTTTCCACATCCTAATGTTGAGCAAATAAACTTGTTTATTCAATCGCACGAAAACTATAGAATTCTTTTAATTTTTAAGCATATTTTCTTACTTTTCGTCAAAATTTCATCTGAATAGCAGACCGTTTTTTATACATTTTTTCGATGTTTTGTAGAAATGATTGAGTTTTAAATGATTTTGTCGTATGCAATATTTGAGAAAAAGGCGTCCTCATACCTCCGCTTTCAAATAGTGAAAATCACAGGGCTCTAGCTATCTTCGTTCAAAAGTTATAAGTATTTTGTCCGATGGTCGTTTTTTAAAATTCCGATAATAGTTTCGTACACTAATACTAAATATACGATTGGTTTTCAATAGAAATGCTTTCGAGTCTGAGAAAAAGAAGTTTAGTGGCAAATTATAGCTTTTTTGAAAAAAACCATAGTTTCAACGGATTCGGATTGACGATAAGGGGCGCGCAGTCAGTTTGCTGAGCTTAACTATACCAAAAATTGGTTTAGACTAAACTTTTATTTATCTTTTTGCTCACGCGTCTACTAGATGATTTGATTTTGTCAAAATTCATTTTCTCATCGATGTCAATGTTTCCAGGCTGATTTTTGAATTCCTGTTGTTCTACTCTGTTTCAAATTCGTAACAAAAGTTTTCACGCCATTAGTTAGAGCATGTCTCAAAGTGTATTTATCATTATAGGAATTGAAGAAAGATTAATTTTTAGTTTTTAATCTATATTTGGATAGCACTCGTCGAGGTTTCATGAAAGAAAATATTTTGAGAAAATCAAAACCTTAACATATTTTTTCTTCATGTAACTTGACAAGCTCTAAGAATAACAGGAGAAAAAGAGTTCTACTTAAATATTAATTGGCGATTAATACGTCACATCCACTGTAAATATCTTAGAATTCGAATATATCGGTACAGGTAAAGTAACAACATCCTATATTTTAAGTCTTATGGTTTGCTAATGAGAGCTTTAAATTAACATGGATCTGTCTATTATTATTAGTTTACAGTGCAAATACCTCGATTACAAAGTAAGTGCGAAAGGACAAAGGTATGTTGATCCTTTAATATTGTATTTTGCCCTATGAGTATATTATATAGAATATTAGGAATTACAAAATCCTATGATTGACAGGATGAAACTTAATTCTTTTCAATGTATTTAAGAAGGATATGAAGATTGTTCGTCATTTAAATGAAGTAATGGACAAACGTTTTCGATTCTCTAAATAATATGATGAAAACTCTCAATAAAAATTAAATAGAATGAAACATCGACATAGATTATTTCTTTCTGTAACGAAATCAAAAGTAACAAATATCAATATACTTGAATCTAAATGGCAAACTCTATACAATTCTCTTCATATGAAAATAAAAGAATAAATATTTCTATATAGATTTTCTTATATTCTATACCCAAATTCATGCATAACACTTGAATCTCCACAATCACATGCACCACCGGCTTGACTTTTAAACATATTGTAATTATGTCCTTCGTGATTTCCATGTTGAAAGCATTGAGCACATATACTCATACATGGTGATATTGAACATGTTTTACATCGATATGCAATCACATTTGCGTTCCAAACTAGACCACATATTTGTGCACTATTATATTGACGAACTAAATAATAAAAAATAAATAAGTTTTCTTTTTTTCTATTTTATCATACTTTTTTCAATGAATTCATCCATTGTTCGATTACCAGGAATATAGTGTTGAAAAAAATGTACTAATGTATCAATATTTTCATTTTCATGAACATTATTTGTTAAAAGTTTTTCAAGTTCTAATTTATCAATTGTACCATTAACTAAACCAGTTTCTAATTGTTCTGGTGTTAAATATATTGAATTAGTTGTATCCATTTAAAATAATAATTTAGATTAAATACAATCTAAAGAATACAAATGTATTGCTATTGAATATAAGAAACAAAAAAAAAAAAAATAACAAACATATTGTCTATGATGACTCATTCGATGACACAAAAAAGAAACTAAAAACAACAGAACGAACATATATTTGTTTATTATCGATTTTTTTTTCCTTTTAACTAATAAATGATCAAACAAATTCCTCGTTATTTTCCAAAATTATATTTTTCATCATTAGCAACTGAATTAAAATCATCGAATGAAATCTATGTTCCACCTTATCACAGACCATCATCAGATGATGTTAATAAACTTCAAAAATTTATATCAGATGCAAAACGATTATTTATTATAACAGGTGCTGGAATTTCAACTGAATCAGGTATACCAGATTATAGATCAGAAGGTGTTGGACTTTATGCAAGAACTACAAATCGTCCAATGTAAGAAAATAAATCTATTTCCTTTTCATTAATAGATTTGTTTTGAAATAGGATGTATCAAGAATTTTTAACTAATTCAAAAAGATATAGAATGTATTGGGCTAGAAATTATATCGGGTGGCCAACGTTTTCTGCTTTTCAACCTAATGAAACTCACAAAACATTTGCTAATTGGGAAGTACAAAGAAAAGTTAGTTTTTATTGATGAAAACATAAAAGAAAAATATATTTTTTTTTCTTTGTTTTTTTTTTTTATTCTAATAGGTATTTTGGCATGTCACACAAAATGTAGATAGTCTATTAACAAAAGCTGGATGTGAACTATTAAGTGAATTACATGGTTGTAGTGCAAGAGTTGTTTGTGTTGATTGTGGTTATAAAGATCTTACACGTGAACAATTACAACAAATTATACTCAATCACAATCCTAATTGGAAAGCATACTCAAATACTATTAATCCAGATGCTGATGTATATTTAACTGAAGAACAATTAGGTGATTTTAAGGTACATCAAGATAGAAATCTTATAAATATTTTTTTTTTGCAACTGTCTTATACATTTTAGCCACCTCGATGTCCTCGATGTTCTGGTCGAGTAAAACCGGATGTAACATTTTTTGGTGATAATGTTGATCGTCGTTTAGTTGCTTTTATAAAGGAACAATTAGGTAAAAGTGATTCTGTTCTAGTCGCTGGTTCATCACTCGAAGTAATGTCATCGTATCGTTTTATTCTTGCTGCACAACAACATCAACTACCTATTGCTATTATTAATATTGGTCGTACACGTGGTGATCATGCCGCTCAATTAAAAATTTCTACTCGTTGTGGTTCAATATTACCTCTTATTAAAATACACTCATAAAACAAAAATTAAAAAAAAACAGATAGAAATTTCTTTGTTTGTTCTTTTATTTTTTTTTTACATAAAATGTTATGGGATAGTAATAAAATACAAATATAATTCATTAGGAATTTCTTAAAGTTATTAATTTTGATAAATTGGTTAGATTTATCATCCCATTTACCAATGTTATCATCATTATTTTGTTAAAAAAATGTGTTAACTTATATATTGAATTGGAGTATGAATATTCACCTAATTGATCAGAAATAAGGTAAGATAAATGCTTGTTTTACTTGATAATTACGATTAAATCAATGTGATACTAAAAATAAATTGATTTAATATACTCGTTTAGCATTTCTTTTTCAAAATTTATAAAAGTCAGTTAAATAATTATCATTGATCACTTGAAAAATTTCGACGATTATTAATCAAATGATTTCTTCTCTTTTTATTTCATTCTATAATTTTTATTTGTTAAACAAAGTTTCGATTGAAAATTTCGAGTTTTAGAATAAAGTAAATCAAATCGTGTAAAAATTTGAGATTATTGATTGTTCACATTAACAACAATGACATGAATTCAGTGCAACATTTTGAATTTCGTCAGCTGCCAGACACACTGAATAATTCATATGTTTTTATTTGCATATTCCATGTTTATCTATGGCCTTGATTATGGTCTTATAGCAACGACTTCTATGTTAGAACTACAACATCAAAAGATTCTAAATTTAATTCACAATTCAATGTAATGCTTTTCATTGTCAGTGAATATTTTTAACGTATTATTGTTACCAAAAACTTGTGTTATGAAGTCCCTCTAAAATTTTTACCATACTGTTAATTAATAATTAGAGACGGGTATCAAAAAACGACATTGGTCGAAGAGGAGTGTACAATAATAATGTTTATTTTATATTCTAGAATATATCATATAAAATTTTGTAGGATTTTCTTATTGTAACAAAATAAATTGATATAGATGTCTCTGTTAGAAAGGGCTTTCTTATTTATTGAAAGAAACTCTCTGATGATATACGAGTAGCTATTAAGTGCTTTTGTTTTCATATAGTTAATATAACTCTTACAAATTGCTACAACACATTAGGGTATTATTAAAACAATGTATGTTCGAAATAAGTTTGTCGTCATCCTTCCAATGAATATACTATGGCAAAATTTATAGAGGGTAGTACAAGAAAAACGTTTTTGACGTAAAAATTAGAATTATAAAAAGCTGCTATACAATGTATTGAATTCGATTATAAATTAAATTTAGTATTTTTCAATATCTAAATTGTAGCATAGAAGTCATTGCTAGAAAGTCATAAATTCAGCGCATAAACAATGTCGCAATCTGTCTACAAAATTTTGAATTCTCTAGGATTTTACAGATGATGGCTAACACATTTTGTAATAAATGTGACTAAAATTTGTAGTTCTATTTAGTCCATTTGAAAAGATATTCGAAAATTTTTCAGGACTAGTATTTTTATGAGAAAAATGTTGACAGAGGACGCTATTATCTCAATCTATATTTTGCTATTTTCAAGTCTATTATATAAATAAAATATTATTTTATAGTGAAGCATTTTGATAAAGTTAGATTAATCACATATTATTTTTGAATACAAGAAAAAAACCGTATTGAATAATTCAATTAACCTATAAATGATCTTCTTTAATTTTATGTTTCGAGCTGAATGACTCATCTGAATACACACTGCAAAATGGATGCATCGATAATTTATTAAATTTTATTTTTTTCGAAAAACTCCTCGTTTGATTCAATCGAAAGTACACATATGAATACAAGAAAATGCTCTTGAATTTTTTACTACAGATCTTGAATGAATATATACAATAGTAGTAAATCTGAGCAAGAATAACGGTAAATTTGTAATTAAATTAGATTATCATTAATTTTAAAAATCAGAATTTATGATATATTTAACTGATGTCAATGAAGATGTAAAAAAGGAAAATCTAGTTCACTTGATATATGAAGTTAATTTGAACATGTATACTATTAATCATACCTCTAAATAAGTAATTGTTCATGAAGGATAAGCTGTTAAAATTAACAAAACTATTATAATCTTCAGCAAACTAAATGACAGAAAAATTGAAGTTTCTAATTTTCTTAGTAAAGGATGATAGACACATTATTTTACTTTGAACGAAACAAGTATTCTTTGTTATTATTAATTCAGTAAATGAATTCATCAAGATTGTAAAAAAAAAATCATGTTTAGTTCTTATTTGTCATGCCAAATATAGTGTAATTAACTAATTCTTTACTGAGAAAATTATTACAAAAAAAGTTTCACTTTTTCATTTAGTTTATTTGAATTGATATCCTTCATTTTGATTAAATAAGCGCAGGGTGAAGAATTTTGATATACTATCATCAAGCAATAAGACATCTTTATTAAGTAACAAATGAAATGCATTATTATCATTTGTAGTCTATACTTCTTTTAGTTTTTCATCTAATGAAGGAATTATTTGAACTCATATTGTGTTTACAAGAATGTTTCGATAAGACTGGAAAAATTCTAAAAGGCTTCATGTCCATAAGTCGAGCTATGATTGCTTTAGTGAATTTTCAATCCCGATCTAGGTATTTGCCGAAAAATTGAATAATTGAGTTTCGATTTAAAATTTTGTCATTAGAGAGATCTCATTACTCTAAAAGTATCCTGAAAGTTTCAGCCGAAAAAAGTATGTCGTTGTCGAGATATCTCATTTTCTAGCTGATATTTGAAAATGGATCAAAAATTCACTAAACCATTCATGACTCGGTTTTAAAGACTTCTGCACAAGAAAATTTCAAAATTTTTTCTAGTCATATAGAGAATTTGTTGTGGGCATAATAATTGCTTAAATCGCGAGTACCAGTTAGGTTAGTTCTCATGCTAGTTTTTTTTTATTCCGATACAACAAGAAAAAGCAAGTAACGACAGAAATAAATTCACGAGTTTGTTCAATTAAACTATGAAAATGAGATTTATGTTGTTTTAAAACATCGATGATATCTTTGACTAATTTTTAATATTCGAATTGTTCAAGAACTATTTTTTTTGAAATTCATATAAATAATATCAACTCGATCTTTTTTCAAAAGAAAATATCAATCAAGCTGATACATATTTCTTTCTGTACAAGTTCAAGAAAGACGATTAATGGACCATAAAGAATACAATTAAAATTAGTAGTATCAGTTTGATTTTCAAGTAGTCATAATTTTTATTAAAAATTACCTAACGATGAGTTTCCTAATAATCGTAATAAGCAACAGCTTAACAAAATATGCAATATTTAACGATGATATTGTATTGTAAATCATAAGAGTATCATTCATATTTGATCTCTCTTACATTTTTGTTTTAGTCTATCAACAGGTTAATTTATTTTTTTTAGTTCAACTTCTTTCCATGAGTATGGGTTACAGCTATTTGTAGTTTTTATCTTAAATTTAGAATACTATAGTTATATCGTGTACGGTTGTAAAACATCGGTCTGAGTGATGATAAAATACGCTGCGTCAACAGTTTCTATACGATCGTATGCATTAACGCAAGTTCTAGAACTTTAATTATTAAGTAAATGATTATTGAATGTTGATGAACTCAATCTGCTATTTCTTTTTAATAGCTTGTTAAAATCATTTCAATCTGAGTGTTTGGCTAATAT